GTTATTTTTGTAGTTATTTGTGCAGTAAAACCTAAAACTGCTGAATGTTGACTGGAATAGGTACTCAATAAAATTTAATAATTATTTACTAATATTTGTTATTTTTTGATAATAGATATATTTCTTATCATATTATTTCATGTCAATCCCTTGTATATTTTCTTGAATACACAGTTTAAACCAAGGTTACCTATTGACAAAAAAATCTATTTTAAATTACTAATAATGATAAATGTTATAGTAAGTAAGTACTTATAGATTTTTATGGCCCATCACTATTAGCACTATACCAGTTTTTTATTCAGTTATTTTTTTTTTTTTTAGTTACTTTGTAAATCAATTTGAAAGTCTTTAATCGTAGGTTAATGGGTAACTGGTATATTATTTTAAACCATGGTTTACTCCATATATATATAACATAGCAAAACGACACAATACGTGTGATTTTTCTACTGGCTAGACCAATAAAATATTATTTTGCCGTGTGGTGTCCAAAACAGCTGCATAAAATTAATCTGACATCAAGATTAATATTTACCAAAGTATTTATCAACATTAAAAATATAAATTTTGTTAGAATCTAAAGGTATGGTAGGTATGAATTGAATGATAACTGTTATAGTATAATACATTTTGAATATCAAAATATTAGTTGTATTTTTTATTTAGTACTAATCATATATTTTAGATTCTGCGTGTAGATATGAATGTATAATTTAATAATGATATGATGTTTTTTTCTTCTGTCTGTCATTAGAACTTTGGATCGTATAAATGCTTTGATCTTCAATTTTTAAAGTGTTCTAAAATGTTTTATTTTGGGTTTTATTTCGTTTCAGCAGTTTTATTGCATAAATACTAATGAGTAAATTCACTCATTAGTGATCTAATTTGAATAAAATAATAAATCATGATGAATAAAACAATAATTTTGAGTAAAGGTAAATGGGATGATCAAGATATATTTTTAAAAATTGCTTTAATTCATATGTTATGTATTTAATTTATAAAATTATAAAATTTTAAGGCAATCTTATATGTATACAAAATCAATAACTATATTAATTTTTATTGAAGATTGGCCATAAGTTTTTCTTATTCGTAGAGAAATTCAACGTTATACAAATTTAAAAATACTTCTTCATAAAATGTTTTATCTTAAATAATAATAATAATCAAAAAATATTGCCACATTATTCGAAACCTCTATTTTACGTAGCATCACACTTTATCAAAATTTTAAACGTCAGTACTTAACTTATTAAGCATATATAATATACTATATAGTATATACATATTATTTGGATATTTACAGAATTAAAAAAATCATATAGTTCAATATGTTTTAAAAATATTGTATAACTATTGATGAATTTTTAACCGTAATATTTTAATATATTTTATTTATGTAAACATTGTAAACTTAATAAATATTTTTTACAAAAACTATATGATAAAATAAGAATTTTTATTATAATACATAATTAAGTGTAAACTATTTGATGTCCTTTTAGATTGAAGGTTATAATAGTTTTTTACCCTGGATATTTTATTAAATTTTAATTTTGTACGTAATATATAATGTATTTTATCTATAAACACTACAATTATTTAAATTAAGACATTTAAAATCTTGTCTTTCAGCCATCATGTTATGTTTATTTTAAATGGTAATAATATTATGTTAAAGTCGATTCATATATATATATATATATATATACAGATATTTTTTATTAAATAATACATTAAAATGTTATCCTTCCTATGTTTTTAAATTATCTATATCAATAATTAATATTAGCAATCTAGTGTAAATTTAAATTATAAACCTATGTGTAATAAATGTTTTAATTAAACGATTTTGGTGATAGAAAGTGTAAATATCAATTTTAGGTACAAGACCTTGACGAGAGATTAATTGAAGGGTATATGTTAATTAACGAAAATAAATGTATTATTAAGAATATAATTAACACTAAAATACACAAGTGCATTAAATTATAATTGTACCTAATAAGTTATTTTATAATTGTATATAAAACTTAGTTTGTTAAGTGATTTACAATAATTATTTATTTATTAAAACATTTATAAATAAGAAGAATCATATAGTAAACTAATATAATTAAATACATAATATAGAACATTAAGACATAAAAAATCTAGTAATTTGCGATAATATTTGGATATTGTTAAGCGTAAAAAAAAACAATCATCGAATGTTTGGTATTAGAAAATCTGTTTCTAAAAGTATTTAAAATCGCCCAACGCATTACACAATCGTGGTCACTTTGCTCTACTACACCTGGGCATGATTCTAACTACATAATGATACGAGCCAGTAAACAAAATCATGAGTGCTTCTATCAATTTATTACATACTTAAATGACAAAATAATATATTATTTTCAATTTTTAACAACATTTATTAAAGATAATAAGGTATACTGTACCTAAAATAAAAAAAAAATCATTATACAAATATGGTATAAGAAATTAAATAAATTTCTTTTTTTTTGTTTAGCAAGCATGCGGCGTTTATCTTACTTGCCCTGATCACACACCATTGCTTTACAGTAGTAGTCTTCAAACTTTTTGACTCATGACCCAATTTCCTTATGATACATTTTTTGAAATCTATATCAGCTTTATAAGCCAAAAAAAGTTCTAATTATTACTGTCTACTGCTTAATTCTTAATAGATAATATTTAATTTTTTATTATATGCAATGACAAAAAAAAAGTACACACATATATGCGCCATTATGTAACCAAAAATTGTCAGAATTTTCACCCCTTAATAAATATTCGATTAAATAATAAGAATTAGTTTAATAGATTATATTATAATATAGGTATCATATAACTGTTATTTATATTTTATAAAATTAAATTACTTATTTGCCTATGAAAAAGATAACGATTTTAAATATCTGGGAGCAACGTTAAGTACAAAGAATGATTGGTCAAAATAAATAAGTATTCGGATAAATAAAGCTCAAAAAACGTTCTTTGCACTGACAAAATTCTTTACATCCAAAATATTAGGAAAACGAAAACAAGACTGTACACGACTATTATAAGACCGACTATGTATGGTTGCGAAGCTTGGACGACGACTAAACAAACAGAAAGAAACCTTTGGACTTTTGAGTACAGAGTATGGAGGAAAATATATGGACCTGTCATTGATGAAACAACGGGGAATTGGCGGAGGATGTACAACAGAGAGCTGTACGATATGTTGGAACTAACACCAGTAAAAAGCTTCATTAAAGGTCAAAGAATACAATGGTTAGGTCACATAGTGAGAAGACGAGAGAACGAAGTAGTTAGAGTAGCTTTGGAATGAAAACCACATGGTAAAAGACCTAGAGGTAGACCTAGGAAAAGATGGATTGATTTTTAGAGTTGAGGATTGGAGAGACAGCCCAAATTAGAGATAGGTGGCGAAGTGTAGTAATGGTGGCAAAAACTCTTAGGGAGTAGAAATGCCAGGAGAAGAAGAAGAAGAAGAAGAAGAAGAAGAAATTACTTATTTATTTAGTGTGGGTATAGCATAAATTTGCACTAGGTACTTTTGCCAAAATAACACGATCATTAAAGCCAACCAAATTATTTTTTAGATTTTTAAATATTATTTTTTACTCATATAGCATATTTTAAATTAAAGAAATTCAATAAAATAATACTGATAATATTTTTACCTTTAATTTTGAAAAAAATCCGTTCATTTTTATGTTTAGAATAGCTGTAGCAACACAAATTGGAACTGTTGATCGCAAACTTACTTAGTTATACGTATGCTTTTAAGTCGGATAAAACACGACTGCACCGTCTGCACAGCTAGTAAGGAAACTATAAAATTAACTTTACTAAATTAATAAAGGTTTTATGTCTTAATAATATTTTAATATGCTGGATATAAAGCATAAATTAATTTTCGCATCCCTCTTGAAAAATAAAAATCTCTGTTTATTATTTATTTTTTTTCAAATGACGTATCTTTAGTATTTCATTTCAATATTAAATTGTTAAAGAAATCAATAAATCATGTATATTTAGTCCAAAACGTAGACCCTGAATTTTCAATTTTATCCACACTCAATTAACTTAGCCTATTTACCTCCCACTAACCTAACTTTCTTAGATAAGTAGCTAATGCACAATAATTATATTATTTTCCTAATTATAAATCAGTTTTTAATGTTATCTTGTACTGTAGAAAGTTATTAGAAAACTATAGAAAATTTTTTTTTTATTTCTATTCAAAGCAGTGATAGTGATCCTACCTATAATTCGATAAACGTGATTTTGGATTTGTAAATTTTTATTTTCATTTCATTAGTATAATTACAACAATTTTCAACGTACCTTATAAATAATATTCTATAGAAGTATACTACATAACAATAAAATACTAAAATATTAAATTAAAATTAAAATGCCTAAGAAAGAATATGCACGTATTTAATACTAAATTAATACTGACAAAATTGAAAATTATTTTTATCCTGTGTTTTATTTTTTAAAGATGGTCATCCTATACTTAACCATATTATTCAACCGTAATCAAAATATTGACCATACTATTAATTTTATAGCCATGTTTATTATTGTAATTTTTGTTTTTGTATATTTTTTAGCTATACTTATCTCTTGAATCGTATTTTAATCAAAACATACATTTACATTGATTCTTTCATCTAAAAAATTGTAATTTTATTCTAAACAAAATACTTTATTACACGTTCAGAATATTTATGATCCGATTATCCAAATTAATAAAGTGTGCAAAGTACCTACGACTGTAAGAGATACCAATGTAGCAAGATACTAATAGCGCGATGATTGGGGGTCATACTATAGATAGTTTCCTAATGTTTGTTACCATAATGAATTAATAACCCCCGCCACTAATAACACTTCCTTATAATATTTATTATTTTAGGAGACAATCGTAAACCATTTCAATCATTATAGTACTCAACCTATTTATACATAGGTCGTAGGTACTCTTTATTGGTTCAATTTTATTTGAAATCTTTATTCTTTTATAATAACTTTACTAACATCATGACAATTTTTTTATTATTGAGTTTATTATTAGTTTTTATAATTTTGATTTTGATATTCACAACGTGTTTCTGTGCTCAAAGACCCAAGGAACATTACCGCTTATGCGCAAAATTACCATCCATGCCACGAGGATATTTGACTGATTTAAAATTTTCTTATAAACTATCTACACTAAAATCTAAAGGTTGGTTACTTATAAGTTATATTTAATAGTTTATTTTTAAGTCTTTTTTTTGTAATATAGTGCTAGTTTTTTTTAAGTATTTATTTGAAATTGGTTTACATTAAAAACATACCTAATATATTCTATAATAAGTATTCATTCGCTTTTTACACATTCAAAAGTATATATATATATGTATAATTAATTGATTATTTTGCTGCAAAAATATAGTATTAATATTTTGATAAAAAAAATACTATAGGTACCTAACAACGATATCATGTTTATTAGTTTTACAATAGATACAATCGATATTGGCAAATACGATAATAATGTGATAATATAGTAAACTAATAAATAAATTAAATCTATGCAAGTTTTGTTATTTATCAAAAAAAATAATAAAGTTTTTTCTTAAATTAATTCAAAATATTATATTTTACGATAAAAAAGAACGATTAGTATTATTAATGTTCAAACTGAAACTTGTAAAAGTTGTAAATAATTGTAATAAATTGAGTACCTACACATTTTTCTATTAACTTTACTACACCTTATTAAATTCTGTTTTTTCTGACCAAAAATTTTAGCATTTTTCATATCGTTAATCGTTTACGAGTTTTTTAAAAATACGATCATTTTAACCTTAAAAATAATAAAACGTTATTGAAAAATAAATATTATTTATATTTAATTGATATTTACATGTTAATAATTCATATGTATTGAGTATAATTAGAACGTAAAATAAAGTATAAATAGTTCATATCGATTTAAACATGCATTGTCATAATGTGTCCAATATCTGATCAATATAAATGTGTTGTCATAACTCTTTAAGCATTTTGATTCGAATTATATTTAAAATATTATAAATATAAAATAACTGACAACATTTAAAATAATTATAGATATTTATCAAGTATTAATTAATTTTACTGTAGAGTCTTGGCTCATTATTTCCATTTTTTATAACAATAAAATTAATACATTTCAGTTTTAGGTGAATATTTATGAAAATTTAATATAATTATATTTCTAAAAATTAATTAGTAATTACGTTGTCCTAAAAACATTAAAATCCTATAATTAGTTACAAATTCGACACAAACCCTATGCATATCTAGTATTTACTTAACGTATTATAATGTGTTTCTAATGTTTAAAGGTACCTATTTATTAATTACAGTTGGTAATTACAAATTAGTAAAATTAAGTATTGATCACTGATTTCACATTTTAATTTAAATGTATATTGTAATTTTAAAATTTAATATAGCTTGCAAGTTAAAAATTACTATTACTAAGTAGAAAATGTTTATAACTTTCTCTAAATTGACATTTTAAACAAAAACGTCTACATTCTACATCATTACATTTATTAATATGTCATATTTAGTCTACGATTGACGACAAATATATAATTACCTAATGCCCTAATATCATTGATCGAATCGTAAATTTAATTCTTGTGGTTAATCATGATATGAAATGTTTTTCTCGTACGTACATTATTCATCGAGTTCGTCTTATTAGTTTCGTGATTACCTCGATATATAATTATAATATTTTTAGTAAAACAGTAGAATTATTTCATACATTTATTTAAATGGGTATGTAGATATATTTGTATACATTTTCAATTTATAATATTTTCACAAAAAGTTATAAATGTATTTTAAATGTTAAAAATTAAGATTGAATGATAAATGAATAGATGATTAGATATTTGATGATAGATGATTAGATTCTTAGTGATAAAATTATGTATTGAACTTACAATAATTTATTGTCTGGACCTGCATGTGTATTGTATTATAATATTTAAAAGTAAACACATTTTTTAGAAAAAATATTTTTCAATCTTAAGAATTCTAGGATGAAATCTGAGAGGTAGAATATTAATTAAGTTTATACTTTGAAGAGTCAAAAGTACTCAATATTATTAAAAATGATGTAAATAAATAAAAAAATATATAAATGAACAATACAGAAGTATATTTTTAAATAATACCTATAGTTGTCGTCTTTTATGGATAATATCGATTTTGTTTTTTTGTAGTAATTATAAAAATGGATAACCATAGAAATCCAAAACTTTTCCTAATTATTGATAATAGCATTTTCTAGACATGATACAATTTTAAAAATATTTTGGTTTTTTTTGAGACATCTATCATTATTTTAAATTATCTACATTTTTAATTTTTTTATTATTTTGTTCAAAAAAGTTTGTTTCTTAGTCATAAATAGGTTAGGTTTTCATAAGTTGTTTTACAGTAATTACAAAATAAGCATTGGAAATCCAAATTATAATAAAAATAAATATTTAAACGAATAATGATTTTTATTTTTCCTCTAACGATTTAAGTTATTTTGTTGTAATTAACTTACTGACAATAAATTGACAAAATAAATATTATTAACTATAAAAACTTGAAACTTTTTTGACATTTTCTACGAAAAAAATGTTTTTTTTTTTTTTACAAAACGAGGTTTTAAAAATATTAATAACGAATTTCCAGCTATTTATATCATCAACCTGTTTATATTATTCTACAATAAGTACCTACGTCAGAATTGACTTATTTAAGTACTACAATAATCTATTTAGTGACAAGGTATGTTTAAAATATAATAAGTAGATATAAAGTAAAATGAGTTTTTTTCTTTGCATAGATTACTAAGAGCAAGCCCTTCATTTTTCAAGTACATCTTTTGGAAATAGTTAACATTTATTGTTTTTTTCATTTGTACACTTATATTTAAAAAATAATATCAAACATCATATTAATTTATCTTTTCTATACTACCTATAACTTATAAGATAACTTCTCACAGAGCCAATGCAGACTTGGTCAATATTCGTATTAATTTATCTAGATTGCATTGTTATCAGACAAAACAAAACTGCTCAGAATCATTTTTGGTATTAGTATCAAGTATAACACTTTAATATGGTTTTAGTTTATTAAGAATTCGTATAAACATTTTTATTCCTATATGATAATTGATAAATTTAACACGTATGTAGTGTATTTTTTTATAATATAGTTTTAGCGCTTTTAGTTAGTCATAAGATTTTACCACTTACCTGCGTAGTATATATAGGTATATTGTATATGTAGTGCATACTTACCGACTACCGCTAAATGGTATAAAGAATGTTTCATACATTATGTTATTTACCATTATATAATTTTATTATTTTAAAAGCAATTACTAAAATTTTTATTTAATGTGATTAATCTTGCAGACTTTTTTTTTTACAAATGATTGATGAAAACAGATTATTTTGATGAAATATTACACATAAGTGTTAAAACTAAGCGATATAAATACTTTTTTTTCAAAACTTTCTCCTTTTCAGAATAAAGTAAACTCTTATATTTATTCTTCAAATTTTTAATCATTAAAAATCCATTTTGATATAAAGTATGTGTAATAAGTTATTTTATTTTAATATTATGAATTTATGATTTTTAGATTCAAAGAAAAAATGCTCAATGTACTTGTTTTAGATGATATTTGATTTTAAATTCAAAGATTCTAGTCCCAAAAGCTTGAAAATCAAAAATAATAAGTTCTTTAAAAGTTGTTCTTATAATAATTCAAAACTATTCAAAGTTTATATTAAACACAATTGTTGTCTTATAAATGTCTGAAATTTATACTCTGACAAAATCGAATATTTACGAAAAACAACGCTTTTTGTTTAACAATTTTAGTTATTTTGCTGAAATTTAAAAATGTATTAATCATAAAGACTAAGTAAAACTTTTCGTAATTATTCATATTATTATTTTTTATACACAATTCAATTTTTAAAGGTTGGATTCCACGGGTTATTTAAAATTTATAGTAAAGTAATATGTAGCCAGCCAAAATTTTAAATCTTGGTGTTGTACCCATGTGATAAAAGAAATATATAAACATATAATTTTCATAATTTTATTGCATTTTTATAATAATATATACAGGGAGTCTGACGTCTGTGATATTCTCCATTACATCCACAGAGTTCACGGTCACCTCTACCGACCCGACCTATCATAACTTTAAAAAACATAAAAAACGTTAATAATGCTGTATCAAAATAGTTGTCTATTTAAATATTTAAATAAATCAAAGTTATAAAAAATAAAACAATACTAGAACAAATAACAATACATATTTTATTTTTAATTACGTTAACGAAACTACCTACTATATAGATATTAATATAGAAGAAACTGTTTTTGTGTTTTTATATACTTTTTATAATATTTATAATACACATATAATATTTTATATAGTTTAACATTTAAAATCAAAATTAAAATATATTATATTTAATCTTAAATTTTTTAAAAATATCCAATTTTTTGTCAAATCTTTAAATTAATTATAGTAAAAATTCTTCAAAATAATTTAGGTACCCATGTGTAAATACCTAAAATAGGTACCTTTATATTTAATTTTAATTTAGTAATAAACTATATTTTATAGAATTTCATAAATTATTGGAAAATTGTTAATAAATTTAAATCATGGTAATGGTATTAAATCGTTTTTTACCATTACTATTTGATTTGCGCAGACATTTTTTAGTAAATTTTTAATCTTTCAGATTTTAATTTCTTCTTTTGGTATTTTAAAATTAACATAATATTTATTTTATTTTTTTTTTTTTTTTGTTAAATAAGTTGTTATATTATTCTTAAACACTTAATAATTAAATTTAATTTTACTTTGGTATTAAAATATAATATTTTCAAATTTTCTAAAGTATTAAAACCTTTTTAAGATATTAATTATATAGGTTTATTCTTTATACATTCATATTATTTTAATATTACTATTTATTTTTAAACATGTAAATAAATAGAAATTGTTTACAACGAAAATCAGTATACGATCATAGAAGAATAATAATTTTATATTGACCTTGTATATTTGAGTATCATTTAAAACTAAATATTATATTTGTAAAATTATGTTATAATTTATTTGTAGTATTTAATTATTACAGTCACATACTTTGAGTTTTTTATCATACTTCCTGTAAATTATAAGTTTGAACAATAGCTGGTTCGATTATTATATTATTAAACACATGTATTTATATATGTGTGTAATCTTTTTTAAATTTATTAAGATTATAAATAATATCTATACATTTACATAATATTATAACAGTTTGAGCCTGTTTAAACTTAAGGTAGATACCAATGTTCAAATTATAATTGTATGGATATTCTACCTCTATCAGTATCTACAATGGCTTAAAATAAAACCGATTTAAAATCCAATGTATTTGGAAAAAAATAGATAATGAATTAATACTTGTCATGTAATAAAAATATATATTAATAATTTAAAAAAAATTCATAAATACCAAAAGTGTTATAAATTGAATTAAGACTATTATTTTTCGTCTTGGGGTCCATTTTTGAGTAATGTTTATAGTTACAAAGTTACAATGAATAAATAACTTAAAATATATTCTTTAAAATTCAATAAATTATAAATAATAGTAATTATAAAAATTTAACAACAGTATTGAAATTAGTAGGTAAATTAATAAAATATATTATCTATGTATTATAAACTATATAATCGATTTACCAAATTCAATAATGCTATTTAATGTCTATATAGTAACTTATATTTATAATTTATTGAATTATTATATAAATTTGCTAAGTATTAACTTTTGATTTGTATTTTTTAATAATTAAGCTTTATGTACTAAGGATAAATGATTATATACCTATTCGATCATGCACGATAATACATTTGAAATATCTATATAAGGACTTAAATGATTTGAACATTATAGTAATTAATACGAAACTATTCGATACAATTCTAATCTGGATACATTCAAATTTAAAAATATTAGTTTGTGTTACTACATGACACTTCTTAAATAGAATAAAAGCTGTAAGTTTTCTAACATTTTAAGTATATTTAAAAATTCCAAGAATAAGAATTATTAGTTAATAATTATCGTATAAATATATTCAATTACTATAATACATCTCATTATAAATTATATTTTTTATATTGGACTTCGGCGCCATTTGTTATTGTGATAATAATTCAATTAAGCTTGGTCACCTAGATTATTTTTGTAGTTCATATCTAAATGGGTTAATAAAGTTTTTTATGGAAATAACATCAAATGCTTATTTATTTATAGTTATCTGCAGTGTTATTTTCATAAGGCATACTCCAAAAACGTATAGTATACTCTCAAGAATTTTCTATGAAATCATAGGTACACTTAGTATAGGTATTTTCAAATTTCAACGAATTTACGAAAAAATAGCTATTTTTTTTTTTTGTAGTGAGCCATTTATATATTTTTTTTTTTATTGAAAAACGAATAAAATATATTTTTTGTGTATGAAAATTATTCAGGTTGGTGAAAACTGTACACTATGATAGCGTTTGTTGATTGTTGTCGAATAGAATTGACGGTTACATAGTAGGCTTTATATTAATATATATGCTTTAATGACTTAACTGAATATCTGTAGATACTGTTATATAAACCAGTAAAAAGTCTTTGCCCTGAGTTAAAAAAGACAACTCTGAAAAAAAATATTGGAAGATTATAATTTATAACTTTAAAACTATTTTAAATTAAATTTTTTTTTTATTATTAAAATTTATAGCTTTATTTTGTTTATCCAATTATAATAATTAATAAGTAATTTCTATTCTCTCGGATTCCAAAACATGCAATTAAAAATTAATCACTCTCTCTACTCTTCGAGTATAATCTTATAATGGCTATAATAATTATTTTTTATGTAGGTAGTCCTGCGTAATTACAAAGATTAATAAATTTAATTTATTCTATTTCTGTGAATATGTAAGTTCTATGTATAGCATTTGTACTTTGTGCACATACTTTGAAACTTCCCTAAAAACAATTTTATGAAGATTTTTTTTTTATTTTTTTTTTTTTTTGGAAACCCAAATTTTGAGTTATATTTCTGATAGGCTTACCTGTTCATGTATTATTACACTATCTATAGTGTCTACAGATGAATACATATAAATTACAATACTTACCTATTATATTATTACACACGTAAAAATTGCATTTATGTTATCAATCTATGAATTAAATAGTGAAGGTTATTACTTTATCAAGACTACATTAATTAAATATTTCATCCAAACTAATAGCCTAAGATGCTTTACCAATGAGTCCACCTTCAAATAATGTTACATGATTTTTATTTGATAAGATACACGATGTTTCATTATTTTCAGATGTTTTGCCGTTTTTTAGTAATATCTTAAAGCAGTATGGACCATTGTTACATATAAACGTATTGGGCCATTCATACGTATTGTTAAACGATCCAGACGATATAAAAGTACCTACTTATTTATTTTTATTTTTAAAATTAACATTACATACACGATAAACTTAAAAATATTAAAATATGTTAGATTAAATTTAAATTTCTAAGAGTTAGTTTATTGTTGTATAATTTATATTAAATTAATCAAATAATGAGGTACCTACATAAATATTTGCAGGCTTTATTATCCAGTCCACATCACATAAACAAAGGCCCAGAATATGGAATGCTTAAGCCTTGGTTAAATAAAGGTCTTCTAACAAGTGGAAGTAATTAAAATAAACCCCAATGCTCATACATACTTTTAATAATTGGTGTATATAAAAATTATTAATAATTTATTTTATACAAATTTAATATAGGTTTAAAATGGCAAACAAGAAGAAAACTGCTGACCTATACATTTCATTTTAAAATATTGGAAACGTACATCCCTACGTTTAATAAACATGCTCAGTGCTTAACAAAAAAACTTGAAAATTTGGCTAGTAACAATCAACATGTATCTATTTATAATCACATAACACTTTGTGCATTAGACGTTGTTTGTGGTAAGTTTAAGTTTAAGTTATAAAATATAAATAAAATCAACTTAAAATACGATTAACGAGCCTAACATATTAAGAATTATTATAATATGATTAATGGTTATAAATTACACTAATAAAATTATTATAAAGTATGTAAATATAATGTTATAGATACAATAATGGGAACTGAATTACGATCTCAGGAGGGTAAATCTATAGAATATGTTAAAGCAATAAATACGTATGTATAAATATGATAAATTAAAAATTGTATTGATACTTAGATACTCATTATATCTTATTTATTTCAGAGTAACTGATGTCATGATTAAACGAATATTCAAATTTTGGCTTTGGAATGAAAGAATTTTTAATTTGAGTCAAAATGGAAGAAATTTTAATAAATCTCTTAAGGTTTTACATACGTTTACTGAAAATGTAAGTAAAAATTTGAAATATGATAAATGAATTAGTTAAATAATAATAATTAATAATAAAATTAAATTTGTTTAAAAATATTTCAAATTTTAGGTGATTAAAGAAAAACGAGCTAAACTTGAATCCGTTAATTGTTTAGAAACCGAAGAATTAAGTTTTGGTAATTTATTATTATTCAATTTTATAAAATATAATACTAAAATAGATATAGGTAATCATTGATTAATAAAGTTGGTACATTATTAATTATCTTATTAGAATAATTTTAAAATAAAATAATGGACCTGAATCAAATGGCATTTGTGAGGGAGGGGAGCAATAAATAGAGCCCATTTAGAATTTTTTTTATATATATTTATAAAAGTAATCTATAATAATAAAATTTTCATATATATATATATATATTATATAAAATAAAAATTAATATGATTTAAAAAAAAAACTAAAGTCGAATAACGCGGGAGCTTTCTATAGTCCATCATATCGTGATTTATAAATTACAATTTTGATCATTCCTTTTCCTAGGGATGAGCTTTAGTTACGCAACTTTAGCCACTTATTAACTATCGAAATTCGGCACCCGACTATAATCTACTTACTATAATAAATAATTTAATCTGTTACAAAATTACATATTTACAATCGTAATTTAATAGTCCATATTTTTTAATTTGTATAATTTATTTCAAATTAGAAGTGTTTGCTATCGTCAAATCACAGAACTGTTACTTTATACTCAGACATTTTTTAACATAAAAAAGACAATAATACAAACTTTCCGAAAAAAAAGTAAATAATAATATATTATTTAAAATTAATTTAAGCATAGTTAATAATTAATATTACATAACTAGGAAAATATTTGCATATCAATTAATACGAGAAAAATAATAATATATAAAGACTATTTCCAAAAGATCTTTTAGTCGCGATTTCTTATTTGTTACAAATTTAATTTATTTTAACAATGTAATGACATTTGGAATATAAGTTACCTGTTCTTAAAATTAGCAGGCATGTATCAGTTACCCTCAACATATTATTATATACTACACATGGTGTAAAATAGCAGAAGTAAATTTTTATATAAATGAATAAATACGATATTTATAGTTAATAAGCGACATATGCGATGTAATTTTTCAAAAACAAAATTAGATAATGTTAAAATGTTTAATTACGTTTGTTGTAGTTAATGATAATAGTATTATAGTTTTTGATAAATTACCATGTATGTAATTTATTATTATAAAATATACTGTATTCATTCTTTAAACGGTATTCTAATCGTGTATAGGTAATATAATTAATTAATGGCAATAATTGATACATTTGGTTGAGTACAACTGGTAGGTATATTTTTTTAAATGACAAAAATAATCACTAAAAGCAATTGGTCAACATCTCGATTAGATAACAAAAACTTCAAGAGGAGTGGTTAAAGGTCCACCATACCTAGTACAATTAAAAAAATGTTTTTTAGTTTTTATAGTTAATTTTCATGTTAACTGAACTATTTTTGATGAATATATATCATTTCAAATTATATATATTTTATAGTAAGTTATTTTTTTTTTTTTTTTGTATAGTTTAATAGTTTTAAAACAAATTATAGTAAGTTTAAAATTTAAAACTACTTGTAATTATCTTCAAAATTAAAACATAAAAATAAGTTTACAAGAAGCCTAAATAATACTCTTAACTTAATATTTGAAAATAATATATAACTAAGTTAAATGTTCTATTTTTAGCGCAAAATTAATAAATATTTTTTTAAATAATAATAAAAATTATTAAGAGTAGAAAGTAACAATATTGATTAAAATATTATCTACAGACATTAAAATGTTAATGAGGCTACAACTAGTGATGGCAAGATGATAGCAAGTAAAAAGGTTGGTACCCAAAATATAACAAGGGTGTGAATTATGAGTCATTTATAAAAATAATTCTTTACTTATAGTGGTCCATATAAATATATTTTACTTATCTGACTATTAAGTGCAAAGTATAAATAATAAATTTATTTTATTTCATTAATAATTAAAGGATACCTATAAAATATACAAAAATATACATTAATAATATTAGCTATTAAACTCATAAGACAAAAAATATAATACAATTAAATACTCAAGGGTTAAATTACAGGCAAAAAACGAGTAGAATCATTTCTTGATCTTCTAATTGGAATATCAAAACAAAATCCAGAAAAAATGACAGATTTGGATATTAGAGAAGAAGTTGATACATTTTTATTTGAGGGACACGATACATCATCAACTGCCATAACAATGGCTTTCATACAATTGGGATTGGATCAAGACATCCAAGTAAATTATTTAAATTTCTACAAATTTAGCTTAAAATATTCTTAATGATATTGTGTGAAATTAATTTGTATTGAAGGACAATGTAAGGGAAGAATTAAACTTAATATTTGGAAATAGTGATAGAGAAGCAACTATGGCAGATCTTAAATCTATGACATATTTAGAACGGGTAATAAAGGAAACTATAAGACTATATCCAAGTGTTCCTGGTGTTACTCGAAAGCTTAGACAAAATCTTCAGATAAGTAAGTTATGTACCTACTTAAATAATATTAAAACAAATAATTTGCAAGAAAATTTCCTTTATTTTACATTTCAATAATTCACTTACATTTTAAGGAGAGTATCAAATTCCACCACAGTCAGTAGTTGTAGTAATACCATATTTACTTCATCGTGAGGAAAAATATTTTCCAAATCCTTTGACATTTGATCCAGATAGATTTTTACCTGAAAACAGTACCAATAGGCATCCTTATGCCTTCATACCATTTAGTGCTGGTCCCAGAAATTGTATTGGTAATTAATGATATTTATTTAAAATTTTGATAAATATAATTAAAAATTATTTATTTAATATTATAAATTATTATTTCTAGGACAAAAATATGCTATGTGTCAAATGAAAACTATAATATCGACTGTTATTAGAAAGATGAAAATTGAAACGTTAGGAAGTCAAGAAGACATTAAAATAGGTGCACAATTGATTTTACGACCTGAATCATTACCTGATATAAAACTAACTAAAATTAATTAATGTATTTTGATTAATTTAAAAAATGAAAATTGTTAATTTTTATACATTTATTATTTTATTATTTTTATTTGTTATAAAACAAAATATTATTAGAAAACATTAATGCAGGTTTGAGTAAGATGCCCTATAAAAGTATTTTGATACAAGATATATTTATTTTTATTATCTAGGTACAAGATACTTTAATTATAAGTGTTATAAACTTAAATTTTTGGAAAACAAAGATGCATGTATTAAAAATACAACATATTATACATTTTATTAATGTATTACAGTTTTTAATTATTACGTATTATTTAAAGTTAATGACACAGGCAACATTAGCACCATTATAACTATAATTTCAACACATTCATTGTAATTTAGTTAACTTAGAATAAATATAATAACCACAGAATCACGATTGTAGTTTTTTATAATTATGTAAGTTGTGATTAGCTACAGTTATTAAGATATAATTTATAATAAATATTGTTGAATTTTCTCTAAAATAAAATATACTAAACGCTGAACATATGAACATGATTACACACTTTCGCCAACCAACTTGATTCTCAAGAATTATATTATTTGCCATTAATTCATCAACTCTTTCATCATTTAATTATTTTTAGAGTTCTTTTTCGATTAAACTAACTCATTTAACCCGTCTAAAAACTTAATTTCACATTTCTAGATATTCAACCCATTACATGTCAATTGAATTTTTGTATACTAAATTAATGTATGTTTAATATTATATAAGCGAAATTGAATTATTTAGTCAAGATAGGTATTGACTAGAATATTTACCATTAAATTGTGGGCTATGGACGAGTATTGAATTTGTAAATAATGATGAATAATCATCATTGACCAAAATATCACAGAATAAATAAAATTAATAATTATTATAGAAACTATAGTATGAATCTATCGTAATGCCAGTTTGCCCTAACAAAGAATAGATTTTGTTGGCTTAATTTTTACAATTAATTAATAACTGTATTCTGAGTACGATTTAAGATTACCGTAAAAAATTACGGTAATTTACTAACCTAGTACTTACACAACGTACTACAACTACGTAGTTCTGTTAACAGTTGACTCAGAAGTCAGGAATACAATTTATAAGATTAAAAATATTAGTTAGTTAGATAGTTATAAATTATAATTTTGATGAAATAAATTATATTTATATATAAGTTATTTCAGTTATTTCATATTTGGTTATTAATTTATGATTGTAAATTGTAATTTAATATTTATAAGCATTATCATTGTGCGCGGAGATAATATAGCCTTGCTAGTTACCGCCTACAACGCGGCTGTTTATTGTTATTGATCCCTCTCCACCCATTTTTATCGAGAAGCCTTGTTCGTCACCGTTTCTACCATGACAAATAACCTCAACCAGGAGAGTCATAACTGAACAGAAGGCAATGTCATTCCATGAAAAGATTTAATCAAAATGGACGTCTCCCCTGTAATCCTATTTCCCGTTTGTTTTGATTTTCGTGTACGGTGAATTTTTATAGTTTTATTTAATTTTAGTGATTCTAATAGTCATATAAAATTAAATTGGTCCTGTTGACGGGTCAACAATTTTCGAATACAGTACTGACGACAAATGGCTGCGACTACATTGCCATCCGGTGAGCCCGCACCCGAAGACACATCACTGTATCCGATTGCTGTGCTTATAGATGAATTAAAGAATGAAGACGTTCAGGTACATCATTTTACACATTCTAAATTGTAAATTGAAAAATAAAAAACAAGCAGTGCTTAAAATGAAAAAAAAATTAGAAAGAGAAAACAGAAGTATTTAAATAATGTGGGTAATTGAAGATTTAAATGTCATATTGATTAGGATAAAAGAAGTACTTGAAAATAATTTAAAAGAATAAGAAATGCTCAGTTCCTTCATCACCCTATATTGAATTATGGAAAAATTGTAGAGGTATATCAATATCTTATGTATTGCTTTGCAATTATTGATCATATGTAGACTATTCCAGCAACAGTTAAATCCAAATCTCGATAGAAAAATCTAGCTATCAGTATTATATCTATAGATAAAATTTCCTTAGTATTTCATTTTGTTCTACCTCAGATATTCAGTTAAATTGATTTGGTTTGAGAAAAATGTTAAAAGATTTATAATCTATATTCTCAATAATAAGAAATCTGTTATTTATTATAATTGTGAATCATAAGAATAGGCAACAATAATGATTTTATTATTTTTTGGTATAATATTTTTACTGAGTATTCATTTTTTTTGTTTAGAAAATGTATTACTGAATATGTTTGAAGTTCATTAACTATTTCATTGTAAAGATGTACATTATATTATAATTAAAACACATTGAGCGTATATTGAATCTTTACAAATTTGTTACAAGATATATTTCTATACTTTTATGTTATTTAAAAAAAAAACTATACCTATTTGTTTTTTTTTCATTTCTTAACAACATAGTAAAAAATAATTTTACAACCATCATAAAAACATTTAAGATAATGTGCTTTTAAACAATAGACAACCAATATTTACATTTCATTGTGAATGATACTATCCTCTGTCCAATTTGAGAATATGCCATGATATGACAAAAATTGATTCTTTTGTGCATTTTCATGTATATCCTCAGTCATAGTAAAATCAGTTTTGATGGCCGAGAGTCATATGATAATACACAAAATTTGCATGTACTCTTGTTGGACAAAATACTAATAATATACTCAAATACTTTTGAGTGTATTATGATCTTATGATTTTAATATATTACTAAAAGTGAATTTCTTATAGTTGTACAATTGTAGCATATACCATTTTACTTGTACAAATATATTTATTGTAATAATTATAATACAATAGAGAAAATGAATATTTTTATTCTTTCCTTTTGAACATACCAAAAACTATTGTGATAAATTTATAACTTTGTAAACAAACTGAATTGTGTTCCTTATTTTAAGTTACATTTTTATTTGTTGATTACTTGATAATAGTAAGTATGATAAATCATAACTATTATTAAATTTAATCCAACATGTATTGATTAAATAATTTGTATACAAATTTGCTCTTAATGCAGATCGGTTAACAACATTTTAACATGCTGAAAATTATTTAAATAAATAAATTTGTATAAATGTTTTTTATTTGCCAAATTTTTAATCTAATTAAATGTTTTATTTACTTTACAATTTTTTTTTTTTTAATTAACTGAGTATTTTGATTGTCAATTAAAATGGTTAGATATTTTGATTAAATTATCAAAATATTTAATAAATTATATCTGTTTCATAATCATTTGAATAAATATATCTATTTCTTTAACGTTTTATAATTCTATTAGGAATACTATGAATTAATTTATTTTCAAATTTAACAGTTACGTTTGAATTCTATCAAAAAACTTTCTACAATTGCTCTAGCACTTGGTGTTGAGCGTACTAGAGTAGAGCTTATTCCATTCTTAACTGAAACTATTTATGATGAAGATGAAGTATTGTTAGCATTAGCTGAGCAATTGGGAAATTTTACCAATTATGTTGGAGGACCAGACTTTGCATATACACTATTGGTAATTTGTTTAAAAACAAAATTATTTTTTTATTTGGAAAATTTATTTGTTTATTAACTATGATATGTACTTTATTGCCTCCCTTGGAATCATTGGCTACAGTTGAAGAAACAGTCGTTAGAGATAAGGCAGTTGAGTCACTGCGTCAAATAGCAGTATTGCACTCACCAACTGATCTTGAAAATCATTTTGTTAGTCTTGTTATTCGTTTAGCATCGGGTGACTGGTTTACATCACGTACATCTGCCTGTGGTTTATTTTCAGTTTGTTATTCTCGTGTCAATCCAATGATCAAATGTAAGTTTTATTAAGTTATATATATATTATATGTTTGTATTATTAAAAAAATATAAAATGTATCATCTGCCAAATTTAACATTTTAAATAATTTAGGTAAACCTTATTTAATTTAACTTTTTCTTGATTATTTCTTTTTATATAGCGGAATTACGCAACTTCTTCCGTAATTTGTGTCAGGATGATACACCTATGGTACGAAGAGCTGCTGCAGGAAAATTGGGTGAATTTGCAAAAGTTGTTGAATTGGATTCTTTAAAAAATGATCTTATACCTATGTTTTCATCACTTGCTCAAGATGAACAGGTGCTTATTTATCCAGCTTTTTTGAAATTAAATGTATTATATTTTTTTTAAATATTTTTTTTATTCAGGATTCTGTTCGTCTTTTGGCTATTGAAGCTTGTGTTAGTATAGCTTCATTACTTACACATGAAGATGTGAACGATTTAGTGATGCCAACTTTGCGTTTATGTACTTCTGATAGTTCTTGGAGAGTACGATATATGGTTGCTGATAAATTTACTGAGGTATTTGTATAAAAATGTAGTCATATTTTTTCAACTTCTACAATTTCAGGTATACTTAAAAGTTGAATTATATCCTGTTTATATTATGTGGTCATAGAAAACTTTTTATTTATTGTAGGTATATTTCATAGTTAAGAAGTACATGTATTTATATAAAATAAAAGTATTAAACAAATAATATTATAACTTCAAAATTGTGATATGATAATAGTTTTATGCTTTAAATATTAAAATAGTATTAGATTACTTAAAAATATATTATTGTGAATGATTATCTATAGTATATTTTTCTTTTTTATCATTGTCCAAAATTGTAACATTTCCATAGGCCTTATACTCATAGATAGATACTGTTTGTATTATGGTTTGAAGTCAAAATAGAAAGATATTGATTAAATTACTACTTAACCAATGTACAAATAGAGTTATATATATTTTCATAACATATTATTTTAATTTATATAACCACTAGTACCAGCACTCAATTATGAATCCTATTTGAATAAACATGATTAGTCTTTTAAATATTTTATTATTTCGTTGTATCAGTTTTTTTATGCTTAAAATGCTTTTTATACATACTGGTTAAACCATTTAAGTATATGTACTTTATATTTAAAGATATACAGGTACTCATAATAATCAACACTAAATGATAAATAAAGTTATTATTGTATAATATAAAAATATTTTTTTTAGTTACAAAAAGCTGTTGGAC